CCCCCCCCCCCCCCGCACAACCGGGTTTCGAACGTTCCGTTGACATAAGGCTTTCACAATCACTTGCACCTTGTAAATTTTGTAATATTCGAGAGGTAGAAAGTGAAACGGTTTTTCGATTGTAAGGAAAAGAATTATGATTCTTTCTTGGCGATTTGATTGTAAGGGAAAGTCTTCATGTTTTGTTTTGTTTTTTTTTTTTTCACAAACCTACGTAACACTAGCGACTAGATATTGTGAGTTTGAAAAGCAATCAAGACCGAATGATTAAAAGATCCAGACAACTTTTAAACACAAGAAATGGAAAACAAATACGACCTTTCGATAAATGGTTTCTTGACATAAGCGTATGCGTTCAAAAAGAAAAGAAAGGAAAAAAAAAGTATTATAAGGAAATTTTCAAGGTAGAAATTTTTCAAGGTAGAAACATCAACTCGGAAAAAAATCCGAGTTCCAGATGGGATTTGAACCCACGACCCTCCGTGATCTAGAAAAAAAGAAGAAAAAACCGCTGAAAAGGGAAGAAAAAAGAAAATTTGTTTGATATGAAATCCTACTGCGCCACTTGTACATTCCACTAGTTATACAGTGAAAATGTTGCTACTATACACATGTATCTAGAAAAATACTAGTTATTTGGCACAGCAGGGTCAAGTGAGTTCCAAATCAAAATCAGTATAGCTGTGATCAGTATCTTAAGACAAGAAACGGACAGGGGAACTGAGGAGAGACCGAACTATACGTTTCGCGTATAGTTTTCGGTATAGTAACTGTAAATAGATTTGGAGATGGCAAGATGATATGAAGTAACACGGGTTATTCAGTCGTATTTGGTTACCCAAATAAGCGCTAACGCCGCGCCGACCAGGGCTTAACTTTGTTGATGGGACGAAACGCAGCGCTGTCCTTGTGTTGCCGGAGTCAACGCCAAACACAGTAGTTTATTTCTAAGATCACAGATTTCGAAGCCCGTACTTGAAGCAGACCCCAGAACCTATGATCGTAAATGTCTAACTAAAAATCAGTTTTGATGGGCTACGCCAGAGACGAAGAAGCCTTCAGAAAGTAAATTTAAGGGGAGGAAATCACTTACATTGTGCATATTGACGGGGAAAGTGAAGAACAATAACTAACTAACTAACTAACTAACTAACTAACTAACTAACTAACTAACTAAATGAATGAATGAATGAATGAATGAATAAACAAAAATAGGAAAGGAAATGAGAACCCGAAATACAGGGATTTTATTAGTTGGTCGCGCGTTCAGAAAGCTTAGCTTTGGCGATCGGAGAAGAAGCGGTACTTTCCTTGTGGTAACCGTCTCGGACAAGGATTTACGGTGTCACGTCTCCTGTATTCTCTTACAGTTGCGTTTTGCACAATTTCTTAACATTGCTAGTAGGCTGTGACTTCATATTTCGCCTCTTTGGCTCGATATATGTGCCCTACAATGCCACGTGGCGCGAAAGCTCACGAAGGAAACAGTTAGTTAGCTCGATATATGAATGATATATGGCCTACGGATTAAAAACTCAGTTCGGTGGCATCAAAGTTTCCACTGTTTACAGACGATCCATTTTCCAAGTTGAGTAGCCCACAGCCACTTTGATTTGAGAACCTTTCAGCCCATAGGCCCGACTCCTAGTTATTGTTTACCACGCATTTTTCCTAACATTATTTGTTCATTGGTAACGAAAATGANGCCCACAGCCACTTTGATTTGAGAACCTTTCAGCCCATAGGCCCGACTCCTAGTTATTGTTTACCACGCATTTTTCCTAACATTATTTGTTCATTGGTAACGAAAATGATAACGATAACAAAACATTCTGAAAGTAATTAAATCGGCCAATTAGTCGATATTCAATAGCCCAGTGCTTATTTTCTTGCTGGCTAACTAATCCATGATCTTTGTTCAGATATCGACGAGTGTGCCATCAAAACACACAACTGCAGTCTCCATGCAATCTGTAGTAACACTGAGGGATCCTTCAATTGTAGCTGTAAGGATGGATTTAGTGGAGATGGCATCAATTGTACCGGTAACTGTAAACGTCTTTTTCATAAACCTTCATCTTTTTCTGACTACGTGTCAGATGATGAAATTGATAACCATAAGAACGCGTTCTGCACAGGGATGCAAATAAGGCCTACCTAACTTCAGTTCAATACCTTTATTGTTCAGATATCAACGAGTGTGCCATCAAAATAGACAACTGCAGTTTCAATGCAATCTGTAACAACACTGAAGGATCCTTCAACTGTAGCTGCAAGGATGGATTTAGTGGAGATGGCATCAATTGTACTGGTAACTATAGATTTCAGTCTTTATATTTTTCTGAGTACGTATTAATTTTTAACTGATGCCAAAATTATTACCGATAAGGAAGTATTCTGCGCTCGGGTGCAAATAAGACCTCAGGTAAGTCAGTGCGCCATTTCCGAGTTTCTTTAACGTTTTTCCTCTGATTCAAAACTAGTCCTTGTGCAAAACCTTTCAAATAAAAATCAGCCTGATTTGCATGGAAATAAAGTAAAAGTGCGTTGGAAAACTATTTTCATGTAATTAGTTTTGCATGAAGACTCGTGTAGTGTTTGTGAATGTTTAGCTCTACCCTCCCCACCCCGCTGTGTTGTATATCAGAGCATGCGTGTTGGATGTTGAGGATTAGAAAAACGTGTTCGACTCTTGCAATGCTGTTGTTTACTGTTGTTGGTTAAATCCGTGGTTAAATCGGAATCATCCTTGGTTAAATCCTTGAATACACCACATTTTGGCGACGAGGACGGTCATTAGTAGATCCGTTTGAGACGTCAACTGTATATTTAAGCGATACACAGGTTTTGAAGCCATTTGACTGCTCAGAAACTGCTGGTATCTCCACACGCTGGGAAAGATGGCTGCGAGCTTTCGAGTCGTTTGCAACGGGAAAAGGAGTCAAAAATGCCGACCAGAAGAAGGCGTTACTGCTACATACCGCTGGAGTAGATGTTCAAGACATCTATTTTACGTTAGAATAGGAAGGAGGGTCGGATAACTACTGGAAAGCGACGGCGACCTTGAATAAATATTTCAAACCGCAAGCAAATGTTTCATACGAAAGGCTTTGTTTTCGTGAAACTAGTCAACT